GATATTTCCCAGGGAATGCCTTACTGCTAAATGATGACCTAGCAATTGGCTGAGCCCTGAAGGGTTAGGTCCTGGGGGGCAGACAGGGAGGAGGGGGCGGTTGGATGGGGTAGAGGTTCGGGGGGGGCAGTCAGGGGATGGGGAACAGGGTGGGTTGGGAGTGGGAGTCCCGGGGGCTGTCAGGGGGCGGGGAAGTGGATAGGAGTCGGGAGGGCAGTCAGGGGACAGGGAGCGAGGGGGTTGGATAAGGGGGTGGGATCACGGAGGGCAGTTAATGGCGGGGGGTCCTGGGAGGGGGCGGTCAGGGGACGAGGAGCAGAGGGCGGTTGGATATGGGGTAGGAGTCCCGGGGAGGCTGTCAAGGGGCGGGGTGTGGATAGGGGTCGGGGCAGTCAGGGGACAGGGAGCATGGGGGTTGGATAGGGGGTGGGATCCCAGGGGCAGTTAGGGGCGGGGGTTCCAGGAGGGGGCGGTAAGGGGACAAGGGGCGGAGGGATTAGATGGGTCACCGGTTCTGAGAGGGGCAGTCAGGAGGCGGGAAGTGGGGGGGTCAGATAGGGGGCGGGGACCAGGCTGTTTGGGGAGGCACAGCCTTCCTTACCTGGCCCTCCATAGTTTTGCAACCTCAATGTGGCCCTCGGGCCAAAAAGTTTGCCCAGCCCTGAGCTACACAACATTAAGGATTTCAGTAAGGAAAGAGGGGCAGAATGGATGATCTCAAAGACTATAACGCTTTACTTGATGTGCTGGATGCCGGTAGCTGGGAGCCAGTCTGTTAGCTGGGGGCAGGGACCATCTTTTTGTCCTGTCCTTTGCAGCCCCTCGCGCAAGGGGCCCTGGTCCGTGCCCTACGGTGATACAAATCATCAATAATAATAAGAATTCATCAGCGGACGCCTGCATCTCAGCAGTAACACCTGGCATTCAAAACAGCATTTTCCTGGAAGCCCGAGGAAAGTTTCCAAAAACCTGGCTGAAACAGAAGCAGGGATTTTCAGAGGCGCCTAAGGGAATCGGGCACCTGCTTCCCATTGACAGTGGGGTTTGGACACCCTAGATTAGGGTGACCAGACAGCAAGTATGAAAAATAGGGACTGGGGGTAGGGGGTAATAGGAGCCTATATAAGAAAAAGACCCCAAAATCAGGACTGTCCCTATAAAATCGGGACATCTGGTCACCCTACCCTAGATCCACCCCTTTGTAAACTCCCCCCCAGCCTAAATCTTCAGCTGGTGCCATTTCCACTTGCCATCTGCTCTGGGCTGCATCTGCACAGACCTGCCTTCCATCCTCCCCCTTCCTCAGAGCCGATTCTTTTCAGCTCCCTCCAAACCCTCTGGGGGGCTGCACTTCCCCAGTGGCCCTCCTAGCCACCCCCACTCCAGCTCCCAGCAGCAGGGAGAGCCCCTCTGTTCCAGGTGCAGAGAGACGCTGGGGGGAAGAGAGACTGGAGACCGAGAACCTGCCTTGGACCACTCCGCCTTTGCCTTTCCTTAGCCAATGATGCTCTATATTAAACAGCTCTTCCCCCGCCCCTCTCTTCCTGGGCCGGATCCTGCCAGGGGCTGAGGATGTTCAGGATGCCAAGGGAGAGGCTGTGGAGACATTTGCTCTCCCCGATCCAATCAGAGGCGACGCGGCGCTGAAAAGGGGGTGCTTTATGCTGCTCGCTCTCCACCCACCCACACCCCTCCCTCCCTTCCTTCCCCGCACACAAAAGCACGGCAATTAGCTATCTTAAGGGAGCTGGGGCTTAGCCAGTTGTGAGCTGCAAATAATCAAATACCTCTGAGGCAAAGCAAGCAGCGGTGGGCCCGGCCCGTGTTAAGAGAATACAAATAACTGCCATCCATTTCCAAAGCAAAAGGCCAGCTCCTGCACTGAAGGCCAGGACTGATGCAGCTCCTTGTTCCGCAGCCTGGCCCAGCGGTATTTTTATTCCAATCCTGGACGTCCTAAGGAGCCCCCTGCTACCGAAGGAGGAATGCTCAGCTGGAATACAGGAGAGAGCTTCTTTGTTCTTCAGTAGCAAGAAGAGACCCTCAGAGGGTAAGTACAAGACGCCGTCCGTGCTTCCGTTGAGGATGGAGACACTGGGTCCGGCTCTTGGGGTGTTTTTTCCTCCGTCGTGCTTTGAAGGGATTGGGGAAGGGGGATTAGAGCTCTCGGATCTGCAGCGGCGCTGGGGCATGGCTGGTTCCTACATGCTAGGAAATCATCCCTCAGCACCAATACGCTCCTTTCCCGGGCAGCGCAGCCGGCAATGCACCAGGATAAAGACAAATATGTAATGCAGGAAGCGCCGCACAGACAGAGGGAGGGTGGGGAGAACGCAGTAACCCTTCGCCACACAGCTCTCTGCCAGTCTCCTCCGGGGCTGGCTCCTACCTCTGAGAATGTCCCCAGTAAATCCGAACACCGGATTTCCTTGGTGATCCATAGAGTTTTACCACCTTAAAGCAGCATGCAGACAGAACTGCGTCTCCTGCTTATCCATCATCATGGAGGCCCTCTTTAGAAAGGGCCTCAGAACCGCACTGGCGCTCACAAACAGCATCGAGTGGGCCGGAGGAGCGACATTGGCTTTAGTGGCTTGACGCTGATGTCACCGAGACTGGGATCTGGCCCGTTGTATTAAGAATATGTTACTATGTGGCCGACCCCTAAATACACAGACAGCTCACGCACATTGGATTCAGCCTGAACATTCATGTGCCTTTCATGCTGGCCGCGCTTTGTGCAGGTGTGTCATGTCGGTTATTCAGCTCTGACAGTGGGCCGGATCCTGCTCCCTTTAAATTCAGCTGCTGTCGAGATCAATGGGAAGGGAATCCGGTCAACAGAGGAGTATATGGGGCCTTGCTAAAGGATCTGACAACATGCCGTCCTGATCCTGAATCCTTGTACGCTCTAAATTCCTATTGACTTCATTTCGAGCTTTAGGTGTGCAAGGAATATAGGGGCAGGCCCTAGATATGATGGGCATGATTCTCCTTGACCGGCAGCGTAAAGAGGTCACAAAGCGAGAGTCAGCTACAGTCACAGTCGCTCTGAGACACCTTAGCACTGCCAGAGGCCGGGATGTAAATAAGAACTAGGCCCTGTTGGTCCCGATTCTGCCTTCCCTTGCACTAGCGTGGATCAGGAGTGACTGCCCTGACGTGAATGGAGTTACGTCAGTATAAACCACATGGAAGCGGGCGCAGAGCCAAGGCCCACACGCAGACATGTCCCTATATGGTTTGACATATGTTTTTATAAAAATGGGACCCCGGACAAGTGATGAATGTCACAAGGCTAACACGTGTCTCTCCTGAGTGAAGGAGAGCCAGGGTCTTCCTCACAGAAGGCCTTCCTCATAGACCCCTCTCTTCCTCTCTCAGTGCGGGGGGGGCCTTAGCAATACAGCACATCGCCCCGAAATTTCTCTGTGCGACAGACGAGATTCACATCCACAGGAGACAGCAAGATAGAAACAGGTGTCAGTGCCACATAACCTGAAAGTGATCTTGTACTGTTATCCTTGAAACCTGTATTGAATTTCCATTGGCGAGCGTGTTGGTTAACGTCAATATTAGTCGTACGGCAGAATAAAATCCGAAAGGTGAGCCTGCACTCCACAGAACGGAGCGTGCTGGGTCCCTGCGGATCACTGCGATGGCTCTGCTCAGAACTAGCCTCTCAAAGGGTGAGCGATACGCCGGTCGCATTTTATACAGAGCCTGTGTTCCAGGACCAGCTGACTTGTTTTTATCCAGGGGGGTTGATAGCCCCAAACCACCACGCCCAGGAGCTCAGTGGCTCATGCTGTTATAAAGCCACCGTGGTTTATGTAGAAAGTCTAGAGAGTCACGTCAGATCTGAAGACTCCCCCCACCCCCGACCCACATCTGGAGCTAAATTTTCCAAATGGCTTCTGATGTTGGAACAGGCCAGAATCAAAAATCCCACGCGCCTGAGTTTCCAGGGGGCGGCAGATCCTGAAGGCTGTAGCTTTACGTTCGGCATTCAGCTCGTTGCCCATGCCGCTGTGTCTCCTGTTCCAGACCGAGCCCCTTGGCAGGTGAAACCCAGTGCGGCCGGAATCTCCCCCCGAGCGCGATGGGCACCACCGAAGCCACGCTGCGGATGGAGAATGTGGAGGTGAAGGAGGAGTGGCAAGACGAGGACTTCCCCAGGTCTGTTCTGGTAAAGCTGCAGCTAAAGGCCAGGGGAAATGGTACTAGAGAGCAATAAAACACCTGGGTCTGACAAGCAGGTGCTCAGGGAAGCGGTCACTGAGAGCAGGGAGTTTGCAAGGATGGCTCACAGCCCTTTTTTAAATGTTTGCCTGGCAATAATCTTGCATCACACTCACACCTCCTTGGGCACTCAGATACCAGGGTGAGGGGCCTGGTGGTCAGGTGATAGTTAGCAAACTGGACATGCCTCCTTCTCTCGTCTAAGATGCAGGGAGTAGCAATTCTGCAAGTACTTACTCAAGCGAGTAGCCCCAGTGAGGCGATTGAAGTCAATGGGACTACTTGGGTGAATAACTGCTACACGACGCCCATTCTGAGTTGCAGAATCAGGTCCTGACTGCTCCCCCACCGGGCTGTCAGCCAGCCATGTAGAGAAAGACAGAGTTGCACCCGCTCGCACCCGATCTGAATTTTTGCCCCTAGCACTGAACCCATCTCTCCCAGCTCCAGTCTTCAGCCTGTCCCCAGCACCTGGCTACACCCGTGCGTATCCCTCGGGACACAGCGTGCAGCTGGCACTGATGAATGGGGTAGAGGGGTGCTGCCTGAATGCTGTGAGGACACCTTCCAAGTAGCGATCCTCTCTTCCCAGCTGCAGCGGAATTGCTACCGCTGGGGCTACAGCCACCCTGTGTTCATAGGACAGTGGGCCCGCTGTGTAATTCGGCCTGTTAAGTGCGGTACCCTGGCAAGGCCAACCACTGTAGTCAGAGGTCTCCTGTTCTCCTTGTTGTTGGATGATTCGCTTGGCTCTGTTCATGCAAGTCCCAGCTGCAGGGCTCATCCAAGCACCTCTGTCTGCAGCCACGGTACCCCGCTCGGTTTTGTTCACTCGGTAGCCTCCCCACGCACAAGAATGAGACTCAGACAGGCCTTTGTGTTGCTAGAAGATGGGAACAGCCCTCGCTTATTTCAGGGAGGGACAGGGGCCCCAAAATGGCAAAGAGCTCATGAGAAAGCAAGCCAGCCCTGAGGCGGAGATCTGCCGCAAGACTGGACAGCAGTCGTGACGCTCCCAAACGTTCTTGTTATTTCTATGATAGAAGCATCTATAGGAACTGGATCCCAACTGAGCTCAGACACACACACCCCCATTGTGCTTGGTGCTGTACAAACACAGTGGCCAACAGGCCCGCGTCTCCTGAGTCCCAGTCCAGTGCACTAGCCACTAGGTCACACTGCTATGCCTATGCAGGAGCCGCAAATCCCCATTTTCTTCAGTTGCAGCAAATTCACGATCTTATCATAATAACGTAGCTCTTCTCCTGGGTTTCCCCCCTCGATCTCAAGGAGGGTCGATAGCCTTTATTCCCACTTTGCAGACTAGGACACGGAAGCACAAAGAGCTGAGGTGACGTACCCAAGGCCACGCAGCAAATCAGTGGCGGCATTGTGAACCGAGCCCAGGTGTCTTGAATACCAGGCCCCCTGGCCTAGCCGCTAGACCACACTCCCGCCTACTGCATAGGGATTAAATAGGGAAAGAGGTTAACCTTTAATGTAAATAAAACCTAACCAAGCCTGTCACATGACACATGAGCCCCTGCAGAATTTAGCTGGCGTTGGAGAATTTATTTAAAGGTATTTTCACACTCAAATCACAAAGACTGTCCCTTCCGGCTTGCCGTTGAGCCCGTATCTCTCGGCTGGATGACGTGCTGAGCGACTGCATTTGCTTAGCTGCCATCAGCCCCTCTGGCTCCGAAGTTGCAGGCTGCCCCTACAAAGATCCCAGCTGGGTGACCTGGCAAAGGGCAGAATGTGAACGTTCCCCATAGCCAGCCGGTCCTTGGGGTGAATTTCCTGTCCCCTGGTAGCAAAGGGGTGTCACCCAGGCTGAGAATGAGCTAAGTGGCACCAGCAAGAAGAGACTCCTCCCCCTCTTCCCTAGAGCTCCCTGGAGGTTTGATCTCCTGGCTCCAGTATGTCTCAGCTGTTTGTGACTCCGGTCCTGCAGTGATGCTGTAGCGATGCGAGAGGGCGGATGCAGGAGCATGCTCACTGGGTCTCTAGCATCCATCTAATCACAGCAGAGGCACAGGCTGTTCGCCGCCTGAGAGCAGGTGCCTTATAGGGTGAAACTGGCCATCAGATGATCAGTACGGCGCAAAATGGTGGCCCATGACCCTTAGAAAAGCTGCTGTATTCAGGAAACTCTGGAAAAGGGAAAGATTCTTAAGCTAGCTGTGTGGGAAGGAAAATCCAAGGGCAGACTTATCCTAGGAAGTGGGAGACAGCAGTCTAAGCATCCTTTGGAAAGGTAAGGAAGACCCCGTCCCTCTGACTTTTAGACGGATTCTATTGCTAAATGAAACGGATCTGAAATCCCGCGTCAGCATCATAAACCCCCGAGCCGCACGGCAGCGAGTATTTTGATACACCCAAGCCAGATGGCTTGTTTTTTTGACAGTGCATCACCCGACTGTGTCAGGCATCAGAGGGTCAGACCACAGTCACAGAACCAACCAGGGAAAGACAGACAGACAGACAGACAGACAGACAGTGTGTGTGTGCGTATGTGTGTGTGTGTGTGAGACAGACAGTGTATGTGTGTGTGTGTGTGTGAGACAGATAGTGTGTGTGTGTGTGTGACAGACAGTGTGTGTATGTGTGTGTGTGTGTGAGACAG